GGGGGGGGTGCTACTGACTGGAGTGTCTTTAGGCCGTTCCCAAAGGGGGAACATAACCATGTTTTTATGCACAGTAGAGTTTTAATTGTATATGGGCTGATTCATCAATGTCATGCTCATAACTGTGTCTAAACTTCAACAGGGAACTGCTGCTTTTTCTTTCCTAATCCTTACTATCGTCATTTTCCCTCTACTTCTTTATATATGTTTGTCATACTCTTGTGAGCCGCTATTTCCGGGGTGCCTTGATTGTCGAAGCAGACCGTGTGCTGTTGAAGCCAGAGAGGTGAGCAGAAAAAATCTGATTCCATGTAAGGACTACTCTGTTGACGTCCACCCCTTGGCGCTCATATGACCTTATGCAGTTGCAAGCGCCGTAAAACGTCTATTAAAACAAATTCCCGTGTGTGAAGATTTTTGGATGGTGTGCGACTTTATTTTATACCGAGTTGCAAAAGTTCTGTCACACCTACCGTAAATGTACAATAACTCGTTTACTACTCAACATAGCCAAGAGAAATTTGGTACACGCGATGTTTATTCATTTTCTGCCAGCATGACATAAAAAGAATTGACAAATGTCTTTCCTTATTCAAGGGGAATAATTTTATTCACACTGACTCTTGCAAAATCCAAATCAAAGTTTGATCTGTATGGCGTGTAACCTCTTCCAGCTTGAATTACTGATACAAACCATCTGTTCATTGACTGAATTAAAGTCCTTATGGGTGTCTGAAGAATTCTCTGCCGTTGCTTGTGAAGTGCAGCCTTCAGTTCCTGACCAGTTTGTACTGAGTGCGGCCTGTTTCTAATCCTCCAGTCAAGGTCCTCTTACAGATGTTCTGTTAGGTTATGGCTTGTGGATCTTGCAGGCCAGTCCAGAACAACGATTTGATGTGTTTGGAAGAAGTTTTCATTGATCGTAGCCATTTGTGGTCGGGCGTTGTCTTGTTAGCAGATTCCATCTTCGGTGCCATGTAGCGTAGTCACCGAGACGAAGAATTTCGTCACAATAATGTCGTTATTTGAGGTTGCTTTGAAAAGTAACTAAATGTATACGATAAAACGCAGAGATTCCACCTCCTACCATCACATTTCAGCCACCTTTGGGCCTCTTGGGGGACGTTGGATTTGTGAAATTTCTATTCTCTTCTTTTAAACACTTTTTCACTTCCATCAATGCGACGAATTAAAAACCTTAACCATTGCTGAAAAGAACACTTTACCAACGTCTTTAGTTTTATGGACAATGTTGTTGTGCCAAAATTTGGCGATTTCTTCTATGAAACAGGGTTAGAATTGTTCCATATAAAGGGCGATAATCACGTAATCCACGATCTTAAAAAATGTCCAATAATGATGTTTCAAGACAGTCCGAAATACCTAGCAGTCTCTGCACTAAGTTGGAATGGGTTTTGACATGGGGTTGACATTAACCCAATTCTGATGTCGAGTTGTCGCCCTTGGTTGGCTACTCTCGGCTTGTCTTGGTCAGTTCTAGTGGTGTTAAAACGTTTGTTCAAGAGTTAGATGATTCCTCAGCAAACATTTACGAGTCTTGAAAAAGCAGAAAGCGCTATTAAAGAATTTATCATACACACAGCCCCTTTATTTTCTGGATTTATCATTTTTTAAATTTTGATAAAAAGGAGAAAAAGATACCCAACCGTTAAAAAGTACGGAATTTTATAGTGTGTAAGGTGTGTTTACACATTGTCTATGTGATTCAAAGCAAATTTTGTGTGTAGGAAGCGTTGATTTCAACACAGACCGAGAGAAATCGATACCAACACTTTGTCCCCGTTCTACTTCCGGTTTATGATTTCTTTGGTCTGCTCTTGCACAAGAAGTCTCATAAGTCCCACAAGTCATACTTTAAAATTTTACTTTAATTCTTATTCTATAAAGAAAATTATCGTAATATAATGGGTGTAACAGAACTTTTGCAACTCGGTATATATATCAATAGATTAGATTATGTAAGGGTCATACCAGATGATGTTCGGACTTAAAAGCCGTCTGCTGATATCAATGGCTCAAACTCAGATACTGCTAACCTTGGGGCAATTGATATCCGTACTTATTGTAATACTCACTCCTGTTGCAAAACTGAAAACAGGACAAAGGACAATGTAGTTGGGTGGTTGGTGGTTGGATGCTGGTGGTTCAAGGTCGCCACATGTAGGTCTCACTTATTTTTTCCCTCAGTTTGTTGTATTTGTCTATCAGTGTGTCTTATGTTTTTGTCTGTCTGTCTGTCTGTCTGCTTGTCTGCCTGTCTGTCTGTTTGTATCACTATTGATCGACTGTTTGACCCAAAAAATAGCCCCTTCCCACCACCCCCACCCTCACCCCAAATAATGCATACGTGTATATTGTATCGACGAGGGTGTTGAACACTCACATACAATTAAGCATTCTGATTGTCTTTATGGATAACCCACTATGTGCCGGATGCTGCGGGTGACTGGTGGGAACACTGGTGAGGTTTGGATCTTCTTTTCTGTTAAACGTCTATCGTCCTTATCTCTCCCCATTTTTCTTTGTACTTTACTGTCTATTAACGCTGCTAACCTTTCGGCACTTATATTATCTACTTGTGTTGCAAGTTTTATAAAACACAAAAACTACCCCCTCGCCCCCCTAAAAAAGCAAAAAAGAAATAAGAAAAGAACTCCTACCCCCAAAAAATTAACAAATAAAAAAAAGCCACCTCCCCCCCACCTCCGCAGTAATTATGTCGACAGGGCATAAAACATGTATATCTACAATAATCAGCTTGTTGAATTCTCTTTATGAATTCCCAACTTATGCACCTTTGAATTGCATGATTGAAGTATGATGTAGCCTAGTAGTATCCAGTGATGATAATTTTCCGCGGATCTGCGGATTTCCGCTTTTTTTGTTGTTGTTTCAAAAATATTACTACAAAGGTATGTGTTATATTATTGTAGCTAGTATTAGAGTTCTATGTTGAAATTTCGGGATTGCAACGGGGTCGGAATATTTTCCTCTTTTTTTACTTTTTCTCATTATCAGCACTGAGTATCGTTCACTGTTTTTCCCCCAGCTTTCTCCTGTTCACCCGGGGTATCTTTCCCTCTGATAACCCCACGACTTGTGATCCACTGACCACTCCGCTGACCGGTCTGAACTCTTAGCCAGAAGTCGATACATCGACCACTGGAGGATCTGTCTTGATTGAGAGAGAGACGGAGAGAAGGATGTAGGCAGGGAAGACAAGGGACGAAAAAGAAGAAAATCTGGACAATGGCTGAACTTTTGTCTGTTCAGGTGAGTGGTTGATTTTGTCTGTGTTCTTTTGCCTGCGTGTGTGTATGTGTGTGTGTGTATGTGTGTGTGTGTGTGTTTCTCTCTATGTATGCATACATGCAACACGCATCAATCGATCCATCCATCCATCCATCCATCCATCCATCCATCCATCCATCCATCCATCCTTCCTTCCATTCATCCATCCTTCCATTCGTCCATCCGTCCATCCATCCATCCATCCATCCATCCGTGCATCCATCCATCCTTGCATCCTTCTTTCCATCCATTAATCCACCCATCTATCGTGTGTGTGTATGTCTGTTTGTTTGTGTGTATGTGTGTCTTTATATACCCATCCCCCCATCCCCCTCCCTTACCACTAATCTTGACAGATCCTACATGAGTGGGTGTTTGGCGGGTACTCTGGTGTCTCCTTCTTTCCTATCGAACATCTATCGTCCTTATCGCCCCTCCTCTTTTTTGTGTATGTTACTCTCTTGTAACACATAATCTATTCTTCGACACTTAAATGACCTTATTGTGTTGCAAGTGCCGTGAAACTCTTACTAAAACTAAAATCCTACATGTTGCCTTGTTGGTGTATGCCCCAGGTTCAAATCCCCACCCACATTGGCCAGTTTCTGAAGCCGGAGACGAAGAAGCTGCTGCCAGAGAATGGTCAACGGGAGAAGTCTGGTGGGTTCCACCTGCGCCAGCACAAGCCACTGGACATGAAGTTCACTAATGTGTCCTACACCGTCAAGGACAATCATGGTAGCTCCAAAGGTGGGTGTATTAAAGGATTGGAGGTGGGGAATAAGACAGTGAAGAAGAAACATGAAAATGGAGGAGGAGAAGAAGAAGGAATGTCAGGTCGGAGAGGGAGGAGAAGGAGAAAATTTTAAGTAAAGGAGGAGGAGGAGGAAAAGAAAAATGAATCATGAGAGGAAAGAGAAGGGGGGGCAGAAGAAGATGAAGATGAGAAAGGAGGAAGACAAGAATAAGACAAATAGCGGAGGAAGAAAGAGGTTGTGGAGAAAGAAGCAAAGTAATGATGAAGAGAGAGAGGTAGAGAAAGAAGAGGAAGTGAATGAAGAGCAGCAACAGCAACAGGAGCAGCAGCAGCAACAGAAGGAGAAAAAGATGAAGAAGAAGGAGGAGGAGGAGGAGGAGGAGAAGAAGAAGAAATATACTTTTTATACTTGTCCAAATGACTGTCCATGTACTTCTCTTTACTCAGACAATTGCTCAAACAACACAATAGTGTTTCTCTCACTCTGAGAGTTTATATAGCGCTTTGAGCTCCTTTTTTTTTGGAAATACGCTATATAAATGTTATATATTATTATTATGTATTATTATTATTATTATTATTATTATTATCTGTCCAGCGAACAAGACCATATTGAAGAATATCTCGGGCCGGTTCATGTCTGGGGAGCTGACCGCAATCATGGGTCCGTCCGGAGCGGGAAAATCCTCTCTCATGAACATCCTGGCTGGATACAGGTGGGTTCAACAACTGGTATTTATAGCTAGCCATTATTACATGCCCCTGCCGCAACACTCCCCCTTCCCCATAAAAGAGAAAATATATATTTAAAAAAAAAAAAAATCCACCCCCAAAACCAGTACTTCAAGTTTTTTATTTCTTTGCCCCACAATGGAACAAAGGCTTGGTCCCTTGTCAGCAACCTCTCGGGAGAAAGACAAAAAAGCAACCCCAAACCGTTTTTCCTTTCAGGCAGCACCATCACTGAAGACCAGAAGAAAGCCGAACATTTCAACCGTTTTTTTGCCTCTGTAAACAGGGCAGGCAGACTAACCGAGGCTGATAGACTCCTCATAAATAAGGCTAAGCATAAAGAAAAAACTCCTTCTGTGAACAACTCGCTTTTTGAAGAGGATTATAGCATGGTGGGACTCAGTCAGGCCCTCACAAAGCTATAGGAAAAGAAAGCCCCAGGACCAGATAAAATACACAACGAAATGCTGTGCCACCTTGGTGCTAAAGGAAAAGAAGTTCTTCTTTCCCTGATAAACACCACGTGGAGAACGAGTGGAATACCAAAGGCATGGAGGATCGCCCAGATTACACCACTCCTGAAAAATGGGAAACCACCTGGAGAAGCGAAAAGCTACCGACCCATCTCATTAACATCATGTATCGGTAAGCTTGCGGAAAGAATGATAAACAACCGCCTCTACTGGTACCTGGAAAATACTAACAGCTTAAACCCACACCAAGCAGGCTTCAGAAAAGGCAGCAACACAGAAGATCAACTTTTTAAACGGAGTCAAAACATCCAGGATGGATTTCAGGAGAGTAAACACACCTTCCTGTTTGGGTGGTTGGGGCACATTCTTTTAGTTCTTTCATGTAGCTCCAAAACTGCTCTATCTCTGCGGATTCCCAGGGGTTCAACATTTGCAAGGATTTCACATGCGGCGGTAGGTGTGGATCTCATGCCGCCATTTATAAAACGAAGGGCATTGTTTTGGACCTTGTCAAGGGTGTTGCAAGTAGTTGTACTGCACATTGTGAGTAAGCTATTGCTGTATTCCAAGGAAGATCGGACATAACCCAGGTATAGAGCTCTCAGAGTTTGTTTGTCTGATCCCCATGAACTGCTTGCGAGTTTCTTTAAAAGTTGGAGTCTTTTTTTAGCCTTGTTTCTTATGTTCTCCACTTGGCTTTTCATGGTTAGCCTATGGTCAAGTTTGATTCCTAGGTAAGTTAGATGTTCTTCTTTGGGGAGGGATGTTTTGGTTGACTCTTTTGGTTTCTTTTCTGTTTTGTGGTAGATGGTGGCTCTCCATTAGTTCTGTGATGTGATGCATGATTGACTTTTGTTGAATTCGTTTCTTTGGTTTCCATGTTTCTACTATTGTCTCTCCACCTTTTTTTGTTCTTTTATTTATTTATTATTTTTTATTGGTGTGTTACTCTCTAGTAACATCTTTAATCTTCAACAACTTATGTGACCAATGTGTGTTGCAAGCGCTGTGAAACTCTTTGTAAAACTAAATGTTTTTTGCTCCACTCTCAGAACCAAGAACGTGACAGGATCTATTGTGGTCCGTAACCGAGAGAGAGACCTGAGGTCGTTCCGTAAGATGAGCTGCTACATCATGCAGGATGATGAGCTGTTGCCCCACCTGACTGTGGAGGAAGCCATGATGTGTTCCGCCAACCTCAAGCTGGCCGAGTCCACGGAGATACAGCACAAACAGGAGAGGGTGTGTGTGTGTGTGTGTGTGTGTTTGTCTGTCTGTTGCCTCGCCTCACGGTGGAGCAAACCATCATGTGTTCCGCCTACTGCAAGCTCTATGGAGATGTATCACAAACTTTCTCTCTCCTTTTCTCTCTCTGTGCTATTTCTATCCCTCTCTCTACTTTTTCTTTCTTTCTGTCTGCTATTTCTCTTTGTAGACACACAGGCAGACAGACTGTCAGAGAGAGAAGGAGAGAAAGAGAGAGAGATGAAATACTGGGGTTTTTTTTCAGGTGGATGAAATTCTGGAGATTCTGGGTCTACAAGAGGCAAAGAAGACTCGGACCTTGAACCTATCGGGCGGCCAACGAAAACGTTTGTCTATTGCTCTGGAGTTGGTCAACAACCCACCTGTGATGTTCTTTGATGAGCCCACTAGGTGAGTTTGTCTGTTGCTTTTGGTCGTCTTCCTTTTTCTCATCCTTTCTCTGTCTTATTCTTCCTAACTCTGTTTTTTAAATTTGTTTATAATATTCGCCTGTTTAACCCCTCTCACTTGCTCTCTCTCTCTGTGTCTCTGTCTGTCTCAGTCTCTGGCTCTCCCCCCCTCTCTCTCTCTCTCTCTCTCTCTCTCTCTCTCTCTCTCTCTCTCTCTCTCTCTCTCTCTCTCTCTCTCTCTCTCTCTCTCTCTCTCTCTCTCTCTCTCTCTCTTAATATATATATACTGAATATATATATATATATATATATATATATATATATATATATATATATATATATATAATATATATATATATATGTGTGTGTGTATTATGTGTGTTTATTGGCTGGTGTAAATGGTCGCTTTTAAGGACAAGCGGGCTAACTCAGGTTTCGGGGGTTTCCAGAAATTTTGACCTACACCAAAAGTGGACATTGCCCTACCTGCAGGAGAAGTTTTGTTTTATTAGTGTGTATATTTGTTTGGTTATAGAGGAAACTATTCTTGTCTTTTAAAGAAACTGAACAAGGGACAAAAACTTAACCTTCGATTTTTTCAAAACAGCATTTTTCGGGGTAGCCCCCTTGTGCTTAAAAGCAATCAAATTTAAATCCTCGGGCTTGAGACCTTTTAAAAACACATTTATTTTCTGTGCAAATTTTACGGAAAGTACAAAAAATGTAAATTTGCAGTTTCCAAGGGCACCGAAGCTTTGGAAGTCCCCCCAATTTTTTTTTTCAAAATCAAAGCAAAAACAGGCTTTCAGATTATACAATAACTCTGTATGTCCAATTTTTTAAAATACATTTCTGATTTCACAGCCTTTTTATTTTAACATATTTTTAACTTGACACATTTCTGTATTTACACCTCTATGATGTCATGGTTTGCACACTTTGCTGACACTTGCGTGAAACCTGAGTTCGATCCCTGTGGGATGAAAATTTTGCACAGTATCTGGGTCTTTTTTCTGGAATATTGTATCCCTTGTTTCTTGTGAGTATGTGTTTACACATTTTGATGCTGACACACTACTCTGTGTGTCACGACACTGTGGAGTCAGGCGCTCGTCAACTTTTGGACATGTGGAGTTAATGGTATCATTTTAAAGAGTGTAAAAAAAATATCCTTCTAGCTTGAATAGAAGTCAAGACATTTACGATTGAAGAAGCTGGGGGCGCCTGGTTTCAGATATAAAATTAATGAGAAAATGTCTGCCAAAGAAAAATGTCTTCCATAGCTTGGGAGTCCTTGGAAATTAAAAATCTACATTTTTTGTGCACTTAATCAAAGGTTTTCAGTTGGTGGTTGGCGGGTGCTCTGGTGTGGTTTGCTTATTCTTTCCTATGAAACATCTATCATCCTGATCTTCTTTTTTATGTTTGTTACTCTCTTGTAACACCTCTAATCTTCTGGCGCTGATATGACCTTATACAGTTGCGAGCACCATAAAACCTGTACTAAAACTAAAAAGGTTTTCAGTATGAGCCACACAGAATGTTTTTTTAAAAAGTATGTAACGGGTATTGTGCAAAAAGACATGCCAGTATTTTTTATTCCACTAATTTAACGAGTGCCTGATTTCACCAGGATGCCTCACATATCTGTACTGACACGTTGATGTGTGTTTTTTCTTTCCCATCCAGTGGTCTGGACAGCGTGTCCTGCTTTCAGTGTGTGTCACTGCTCAAGAAACTGGCAGAGGAGGGCAGGACCATCATCTGTACCGTGCACCAGCCCAGTGCCAAACTGTTTGAGATGTTTGATCATGTGAGGAGGGTGGCTGTTGTTTTTTGGAGGGATTTTTTTTTTGTTGAAAAGGGGGAGGGGTGTGTGTGTGTGTGTGTGTTTTTTTCTTCTTTTTTTTGGGGGGGGGGGTGGAGGGGGTAACTTAATTTCTTTTTTTAGCTATATATGTTTGAGAAGAGTAGACGGGTTGCTCAGAGCTATTGAGTGGGCGGAAGAAGAGAGAGAGAGAGAGAGAGAGAGAGAGAGAGAGAGAGAGAAAGGGAAGAAATTATTATTATCGTTATTGTCATTATCATCATTATCATTCATTGTTGATTACAAAGTGTTTGTCATTTTATATGAGAAATTAGCAAGGTCATACACAAAGTGACCCATTCTTCTCATGATGTCTTTTATGGACCTACATTTCCAAATTTCCATCTCCTAGTCTCCAAACCTCCATCTCCAAACTTTCATCTCCTGACCTCCATCTCGTGACCTCCATCCCCACACCTCCATCTCCTGATCTCCATCTCCAAACCTATGTCTCTAAACTTCCGTCTCTAAACTTCTATCTCCTGATCTCCTTCTCCCAAACCTCCGTCTCTAAACTTCCATCTCCTAACCTCCATCCCCAAACCTCAATGTCCTGACCTCAATCTCCAAACCTCCATATCCACACCTCCATTTTCTGATCTCAATCTCCAGACCTCCATCCTCCGTCCCCAAACCTCAATCTCCTGACTTCCATCCCCTGACCTCTCCAAACCTCCATATCTAAACTTCCATGACTCGACTTCCTTCATTGACCTCCATCTTTTGACCTCAACTACTGACCCCTGTCTCCTCACCTCATTATCCTTGCATTCTTCTCCTTCTCCTGACCCCAAGCATATCTCCTAACACCCCCCCCCCCCCCCTACATCTACTCCCAGCTGTACCTGATGGTTGAAGGACAGTGTATCTACCGCGGCCCGGTGCGCTCCATGCTGCCCTACTTTGAGAGTCAGGGCCTTGTCTGTCCCAACTATCACAACCCAGCAGACTACGGTGAGCCAACTTTCACCATCTTTGAGAAGACCTGTTATCTCAACTGCACATTATGCTAATGGCAAAACCGTGGAAATTGCCCTAGATGGCCTCCCATTGTTTAGGAGCAAAGTAGTTGTCTTAGAGAAAAGGATGTCTTGGACAGAGTCGTAAAAAATAATGGGGGGGGGGGGGGGGGGGGGGGAGAGTGGTAAGCTGTTGTTTGTACTGGTGGCAGTTTGAGCATTTTCCATTGTAATCGAGTGATTTTGAGTTTGTCAGGCTGATGATATGTCATTGTTGCCTTCATGCACATGCATGTGGCGCTTACGTGCACGCACATGTACGCATGTGTGTGTGCAAGCACACAAGCGACATGGACACACAGACACACTCACAGACACACACACAGACACACTCACAGACACACTCACAGACACACTCAAGTATACACACTAACCCAAAGACACAAATGCCATTTACAGTCATAAATAACCATTTTAAGATGGACAAAAATTTTGATAACTCATAATAAGTATTATTTTGTACATAGGTGAAAGACTGATTTTGTCTGTGCCTCTCATTTTCACTTTTAACAAATGTTTGCGCTAGTCAGACAAAATGTGGCAAATTCCTTTCTATCGGATTAATTCTCATTTGACATAGTAGAAGCCAAAAGTTATCTTAATCTGTATTTCTTCTATTTCTCCTTAAGAAATTGTACTTGACTACTGTATTCTTTTCCTGTGATTTATATTTAATGACAATCATGTACTGTTCTTTCCAATAATAAATAGTCTTTTACAATCATTTCCAATAATTCCCAATCATTTCCAATCCTCTCCATTGATGTCCAGTGATGGAAGTAGCGTCGGGGGAATACGGGGATGAGCACGTGAGGAGACTGATCGGTGCCGTGGCCTCGGGGAGCTGTGAGCCGTGTCAGGTGAGTGCTGCACGGGAACAGCACGTGGGGGGGGTTTGCTGGCCGCTCTTTCTTTCCTTTCTTTCTTCTTGTTTTTTTTCTTTCTTCCTGTCTTTCCCTCTCTCTTTCTGTCTACGTTTCTTTCTTCCTTCCTTTCTTCCTTCCCTCTCCCCCCTCGAGGCGGTGCCACAGACTGAAGTATCTTCAGGCCATTCCCAAAGGGGGACATTAACTTGTCCTTATGCACAGTAAAATTGTAAATGAGCTGATTCAACAATGCCGTGCTCATAACTCTGCCCGAACCGCAACAGGGAACTGCTGCTTTATCTTTCTTAATCCTTACTATTGTCATTTTTTATCTACTTCTTTCATATTTGTCACACTCTTGTGACCCGCTATTTCCGGGGCACCTTGATAGTCGAAGCAGACTTTGTGCTGTTGAAGCTAGAGAGGTGAACAGAGTAAGCCTGAATCCGTGTAAAGACTTCTCTGTTGACATCCACCCCTTGGCGCTCATATGACCTTATGCAGTTGCGAGTGCCGTAAAACCTCTATTGAAACCAACTTTCTTCCCTTCTTTCTTTTTCTTTCTCTCTCTCTCTCTCTCTCTCTCTCTCTCTCTCTCTCTCTCTCTCTCTCTCTCTCTCTCTCTCTTTCTTTCTTTCTTTTTCTTTCTTTCTTTTCTTTCTTTCTCTCTCTGTCTCCTTCTTCCTTTGGTGCGGTTTTGCTCCTTTTCTTCTATCAGATGCCCATCCTTCTTACCTCTTCTCCTTCTTGCTTTTGTATGTTACTATCTACTGACACCTCTAAACTCAGGCTTGGGATGGGCAAAAGAAACTATTTTGGCACGGTACAACCAAATACAATTAAATTCTACTGTGACCCTCAAAAACCAAACACATTTTGTTTTTCAGGGTTGCAAGACGAATTTGTTGTCGTATTGTGCCAAAATTTTAGCTTTGCCCCGCCATGAAGGAAAATCACCATGAAGGCTCCGAAACAATCAAATGAATATGATTGGCAATGTGCACAGCTTGTTCACTTTCCTCTGACAGCGGTAAAAAATTTCTAGCTCATTGAGGAATTTTCGTACGCCCATGAAACTTTGCATGGCACTTCTGTAGGCCAGGGTACAAACAAAAATTATTTCTAAAAAATCCTGATCCAGTAGGCAAATAAAAAAGTTTTTCTCTTTGGACCCTATATTAAAAACCGTTCTTTGGGTGCATACACAGGATCACTAAAATGCATGACTTACAGTAACTTTGTCTACAAATTGCTCATTTTGAGACAGCCACACCACCCTGCTCCCTCATTTTAGTGTAAGCCTATCCATTTCATCCCCCGGCTGTCTAGACGTCTCCATGTGCTCTACATGAGTCGAAAATTACTCACTCACCCCGTCTCTTGAGTCGTGTTCCTCAGCTTCCCGGGAAGCATACAGTGCAAGCAGCTGATTAAGCGCTCAAACACTTACAAACTGACAAGATCTTTCGCTGTGAAAAATGACCTATTTGTGTTGCAAGTGCCGTTAACTCTCACTAAAACTTAACTAATCTGTCTGTCTGCCATTCTCGTAGTTGTTATTGTAATGTATCTGTGTCTAGCGGAGTGTTCTACTCATACCATACAAAGAAAAAAACAAAAAAAACATCAAGTATCTCATCAACCCCCATCTCCCCCTTTCCACCCGTGGGTGGTTGGTGGGTTTCTTGTGTGGTTTGCTCCTTCTTTCCTATCAAACATCTATTATCCTGATCTCTCCTCTTTTCTTGTGTTTGTTACTCTCTTGTTACACCTTTAATCTTCGGCACTTATACGACCTTAATGTGTTGCAAGTGCTGTAAAACTTTTTCTAAAACAACCCCTCCACCACCAACAGGCGGAGTTTGACCGGAAGCACTCGTCTTCGGAGCGCTCCCAGACCCCGTCTGTCCACTCATGCGAGGATGACTCGACCTCCAACCTCTCGGTGGTGCACTCGGTCAAGATGGCGGCCCCGGCCAGCTCGTCTGCCTCGGGCACAGGCACGGGCACGTCAGCCGAGACCACCTCGCTCAATCTCCAGGAGCGCTACGACAACAGGTCCATGGCCAACGGACACCCGCCGCCTTCTCCCTCTTCTCAAAAGACCAATGGGATGTGTTTCCCTCTTTATAAACAGAAAGAGGTGAGGTAAAAACTAAAGTTAATTAATAACCCCCCCCCCCCCCCCTTGCTTGAACAAAAGAACTCAACAACCCCTCGCCTCCCAAAAAAGCCCACTTATCTTCCCCCCAAAATAAAATAAAAAATAAAAATTTGAAAACAAGAAAGATATTAAATGAATGACTAATGAGTTGGAGAAATATTTTGATATTATTTGCATGCGTTTCTCTTTCTCTTTTTCTGTCTCAATGTCCAGATTATGAATAGTTATTTTGTATGTAGTACGTATACAACATAACATTTATTTTTGTTTTTTATTTTAATATTTTTGTCATTTTGTGTGGTTGTTGTAATGTGCACTACATTTTCAGAAAATAGAATTTTTGTTTTGTTTTTTTCTTCCTTTTTTCACACAGCTATGTTTACTTTTTAATGCTTTGTTTTAGTTATTATTGAGGAAATGTGGCTATGACTTTTGGTACTGGCCTACCTGGTGCAGATTCGACAGTCATGAACAATGGGAAAACTTGATTTTTGTCAGAAAGAAAGAAAGGAAGAGGGAGGGGCGATGAGAGGTGGGATGTGGAAGGTAAAAGGGAAGGGTGAGGGGGTACAGGTTGAGAAAGGTGGAGGAGAATGAGAGGAGTGTAGGTAGCTATGGAAGATAGAAGTGAAGAGGGAAAAGGGGAGAGAGAAAGAGGGATAGGATGGAAAGAGAATGAGAGGAGTGTAGGTAGCTATGGAAGATAGAAGTGAAGAGGGAAAAGGGGAGAGAGAAAGAGGGAGAGGATGGAAAGAAAGGAAGGGGAGGTTGGGAGATAGAGGGAAAAGGGAGAAGTAAAGAGGGAAGGGGAGAGAGAGAAAGAGGGAGAGGGGAACAGAGAATGAGGGAGGAGGAGAGAGAATTGGGGAAAAGGGGAAGAGAAGAGAGAAAAGGCATAGAAAAAGAGAACAAGGAGGAGGGGAGAGAGAGAGAGAGAGAGAGACGCATGGAAACACCTTTTCTCTTCAAATATATTGTCATTGTCGTAGCATCACCCCACTCAACAAGTAGCGCCCGTGGTGTAGCAGTTAGGCACTTGACCATAGCACACAAGAGACGGGAGTTCAATATCCCAAGTGCAGTTTATCGAGTATCTTGGTCTTTCTGCATGGACGTTGTATCCCTCTCGGTCCGTTTTGGCCTTGACAGGCAGGATTAAAGATTCTGGCCTTCTAAATAAACAAATTGTGTCAAAGGAGCTGAGAATTTCTACTATAGTTATTACAGTTCCTCATCAGTGGTCCGATAGGCAAACTCTACTGAACTACCTGTCCTGCCCACTCACCTCTGACCCACTAACTAAGCAAGAGTTGGCTCAGCAGTTTTTGTGACAAATATTTTCAACCAACCAAGTGTAGGAGTGTAGTAGTGCCGTAGAAAGTTGCTTGATGTGGACCTTCGATCAGAGGTGTCTGACTGCAGTAGAAAGATGGAGATAGATGTCCTGTAGTGTAATGAAGTTGTCAAGTGTTTCTAGTTAGTGTTATAGTTTGATCTGTCTCCACCCCCCACGCCACCTCTCCCATTGAACCAAGTTGTCACTTTTTTTTCATTTTAAAAACAAATGACAGTACCTTGTTTACTATCTTCATCTCACTGGCTCTGTCTTTTGTCTCTCCCGTTTCTGTCTTTCTCTCTTTCACTCTCTCTTTCTCTCTTTCAATCTCTCTCTCTCTCTCCCTCTCTCTCCCTTTCTCTCCCCCCTCTCTCTCTCTCTCTCTCTCTCTCTCTCTCTCTCTCTCTC